AGGTTCTACCTAATTCTACTGCCTAAACATTTCAAACTCCCCCTCCTGTCTATTCTTACCACCATGCATGTTCTTCTCAGCTTATCATTTATCAAACCACACCAAAAGCCAGCTAACTAGTCTGACACCAATTGTGTCTCATTCTCTTCATCTACCCACCACAGTGCTAAGAGTGATCTTTTTAGAACAAGAATCTGGTAATGTCTCTTCCATGTAAAAGTGTGTATGGCTCTTCACATCACTTACAGGATGAAGCCCCAGTTTAGCAGTGTGGTTCAGCCTCTACCCATCATGTCATAAAACTCCACACCTCTGGAATGTGGGTTTTTTGTTTTTTGTTTTTGCCGAACTGGGGATTGAACTCAGGCCCTTGCAGTGGCCAGGGAAGCGCTTATTCCACTGGGCCATCTCCCCGGCCCTTGGAATGTGTTTTCAATCTGTCCCATTCACAGCTCTATTACTCATCCTGGAGACAAGTTCTTAATCCTTCAAAAACAGCTCGAAGAGTATGTCTGACTATCACACAAAGAGCTGTTCCCTATACACTGGGTATATCCTGAACACTTACTGCACTGGACTGCAGTGACCAACAAGGCAGAGATTGTGCCTATAAATCTCTACTTCCAAACTACATGTAACATTTACATATAAATGTCTCAATTCTACACCCCCCACCACACTCCACCTCTGTACTGGAAATTGAACTTAGGAACTCACACAGGTCAGGCAGGTATTGTACCACAAAGCTAAATCCTGGCCCCAATGTCTCAATTTTAAGTAAGTATTGATTGGTATGTGTCAAGAAAAATGGTTTAATAAGCACCTTTACTTACCGAAATGAATTACTTATGAGGTCCTTCCATCAGGTTAGCCTGGCAGCTTAGATTCACTTTGCTAGGAACTAGAAAAACCAGCAGGTAAAAAAGAGCCCTTGAAGGTCACATCAGATGATGCCAATTAAGAGTAAGTAAAGCTGCTCATGAAAGAGCCAAAGTAATTTAGTGGCTTTTGGGTATATTAGAATGATCTGAAGTTTGCAGTTTAAAAAAAAAAAAAAAAAAATCAGAAAATTGTCATCTCATCCTTTTGATTAGAAATTCTTCACGTCCTAAAGAAATTACAGAAACTGTGTGCAAACTACCCTGTAATACAGCAATTTTCACAATTTCTATCTGTATACCAGTTGGTTAAACTCATCTGAAGAACTCAGAATATTATTTGGGGGCAATTTCACACATCTTCCTAAAATGCTAGTAAAAGCTACACTTTACACAAGATTCTTCTAAAATATAAACTGTTATACTGTCTTTGCAATATTTTGAAAGCTTATTTTAAAATCAGTTAACATCTGAACATCTAAACAGTTAAAAAAGAATCCCTAGTATACATGACATTGTTACCCAGAACCTAAAAACATTATGTTTAGTATATTTTAGTTCGTGTTTCTTTAGTTGAGTATTTAGGTCTCTAAAGAACAATAATCAGGATTTACAAAGTAACATAATAGGGGCCAGACAAATAGCTCAGTGAATGAAAGAGCCTGCAAGCAGGCACAAGGGCCAAGGGTTCAATCCCTGGGCCTACCCTGCCAGCCCCGCCCCTGGGGTGCACTAAGATGGCAATTGAGACTCAGCATGGTGGCACGCCTTTAATCCCAGCTCCTGGGAGGCTGTAAACAGGCAGATCACTGTGAGTCTGATCTAGTAGTGAGACCCGGAACACTCTGTAGACCCTTCCCTAAAATACAAAAAAAGTAACATAATAAACATATTTCATTAACTTTTTATACTTTTTTTGACAATTAAATGGAGGACCAAGACTCCTGTTATATACAGGCAAAATTAGATACTAAGGATTGTGTGGCACATACCTACTTTTAACAATTGGACATCTTAGCAATCATTCTCTCAATTTTCTTTTTGAATGAGCTTTCCAGCATTTACACAAACGTTACATAGATTAGTCACAGAAATAGTTTCTAAAAATCAAGTTAGTCCCCCTCTCCCCTTAACTATAATATAAGCCCACACACAAGGACTTGGGAAGTCACACATTCTTAAACTTATATACACAACAAAACATACATGTAACATGTGAAACATTTAATAAATTAGTATAACCCCAACACAATGTTTGCTACTGTATTAAAAGCATTTATTTAAAATATGTCCACCTCCTTCCAAAAGATGGAAGACACAGGAGCCCATCTCTTATATTATGAGGTATATGATAACAACAACAGTAATCCTAAATGCAAAAGGACCATCAGGTGCTTAAATAGAAAACTGAACTTTGGCAAAGTTATGAGTGTTATACAAAATAACACAGCCAATAAGGAAATACATGTTTTTACACCCTTTCCCCATATCATGGCCTGTCCCCTTTCACTCTTCCCTTTGAAAGGGTGAATTATAACCCTGTTGAGATGACTCAAAATTTTAAAAATGTGGTCTTTTATTTTTCTCAAACCTCAGTACTACCACTATACAAATTACACTTTAAATATTTGAAACAGATATTGAATTTATTGGTTGGCTATGTGTAGGAAAATACATTGGTAAAGAAAAGAGACCCTGTATATAAATATAATACTAGCAAGTTACAATTTGACCAAGAAGGTTCCACGGAAAAGAAGAGTAAAAGCCCTTGTTAACCACCAGTCCATACGGTGTAAATCTGGTTTTCCATTACCCTTATCAAAGAGCTGCCTAGGCAAATGTGACATTCTTTGAGCTAAGTGCAGATAATGTGCTGGGTTTCCTTATTACACGAATGGTAAACAAGAGTTAGTCCAGTGCATTACACAATATAATGTACTGTGAATAAAGACTAGATACTCTATTTTAGACACTACATCAACATACAGTTTTTAAAATTTACATAACCAAAAGGAAGAGCAAAGTAAACATCTTCAATACTGTCTGTGAGTGGGGACAGAGCCTTGCTTAATGTGTTCTTCCAAGTATCTGCAATAGCTATGCTGGATACTCTGATTTTGGCAGGACCAGGGCTTAAACCCAAGGTCTTTGCAGTGAGCAACAACCCAGCCCTTTTAAAAAGAAATTATTTTGGGTTGCTAAGGATTAAATTGTCCAAGTGATCCTCCTGCCTCAGCCTCTAGAGTGCTGGGATTACAGGTGTGCACTATCACACCTATTCTGGTTCATTAAAAGACCAAAAGGCTACAACTGTTTTGCCCAGGTTGGCTTTTGTATGACATGACCCCAAACATTAAAAGTCACAATGGAAACTGATCCCATAAATTGAATAGCAAAAAAGGTGGGACTCTAAAATCTGAAAGTCATTATGAAAAACCTTCATTTTAGGCTTTGAAACTTTTAATTTCAACATTTACAAGTACATGTCAACAATTTAATGATATCTCAGGGTTCAAAGTGCTAATCCAAAACAAGTTTTCCTGGTTGCCCCCTAGTCAGAAATACAAATGAAGCTAGAGATGTTCTTTGCCTATCTTCTGGGACTATGAAAGTTGTAATCAAGAATTTACTTCTACAACTTTAAATTATGCCATAAATTAACTTTGATGAACATTATTTAAATTCTCAAAGCATAAATAATTACCATTAATATGGTAAAATGTATTCAAGAGATTTACAACAAGGAATTGAGTGCCTCCAAATTTCTCATCTTTAAAACAGAAAACACCCCAAATTTTCTGTAAGACATTTCCAGCAAAAACACTGAAATTACATTATGGCAAAACATTAAATACATCTGTTACAGAATTTTTGTAAAATAATCTATACTATGAAAACAGTTTTTATTGCATTTTACGAAGTATGGATTATTAGAAATTATTCAGGACACAGAAAATATCTAAAACATAAACCCTTGCTTAATGTAAGTATCATAGTCTGTTTTGGTGTGAATGTTTATCCTCTATAGATTCAAAGTATTTCCTTTTAAAGGTAAGAGGTTGTAAATCTGCACTCTTGGTTCAATGCACACTCTATGGTGGGAAAGCCATCCAAGCTGACTCAGCAACACAGCGTGCCCAGAAGAGGTGAAGCGAGTATTTCCAAGACACAACAGACCGTTACACCTCCGTATGCGACCCCATACTTCAGACATAGTATAGACAACAACACATACAAATGAAAACATTTTGTGTAAAGCTCAAACCTTTAGCAATTAACAAGTGCATTCTAGTTCCAGCATCTATGAAGAGAACATACCTTTCATTAACAAACACAGAACAAGTAAGTGCTCCTCCTCTCCCCACTCACACAAGCTCTCTCTCTCTGGACCTGACTCCACCATCAGGTCTCCTGAAGAGCAGCTTCCTCCATCAATCCCACCAGCTCCAGCTCACCCTCACTGGAAATTGTCATGATGCACATTACAACACAGTGTTTAGGAAAAATGAGTAAACACACTTTTATTCTCACTTTACAAAAAAACCCCACAAAAATACCATGAAAAGTCATGAACTGGCTCTATATCAGTAATACCAGCTTTCCAATATTCTGATTATAAACTGTGTTTGGTGTTGGCACAATTTAAAAAGTGCCAAAAGGAGGGGGGGGGGGAAAGAAAGAAAAAAACCAATACAACAAATTCTTTATTGAAAAAGCAAAACAAAACACAAAAACCCTTAAAGGAAAAACCAGGTCCAAGACAAGGATTCAAGATGAAAACTTTTTGGGAGAATTTCTAAGAAGAACAAGGAGAGA